ATGTTATGTGGCCGTTCGACGGCAGTTTCTTCTCTCACTGTATATCTGGCTACGCAGGCTGACGCCAAGTACGGCCCAATATACAATGCCACCATGGACCCCCTGAAGGCCTACTGCAGCTTCGTCTGGGACAACAGAGTTTGCCTTGGGAGACTGCAGAGGGCCTGGATGAAGGTGGATGAGGGGCTCAAGATTAAGGCCTCTTGGACCTCGGCAAGGGGGCCCATTGCTGTAGTATGGATGTCCTTGAGGAGAATAGGATGGGGCATGTAATCCGCCACGGGGATCTACTGCGACCTAGGTCACACGTTTGACCTCCTTCAGCTCTGTCCCAAGGACGTGCTGGAGTTGGTCAGGCAAGGCATCGAGCGATGGCAAGGCATGCGTATACTTACACATCACAAGGAGGTATGCTATGGGGATGAGGTTGTACGGATGAGAGCTATGAGGAGATGTATTGGTGCCAAGAAGGCAGTGGTCAGGCACCCACGTTTTGCAGGCGCGCTTCGTGCACTGTGGTCCGACTCTATTTGGTCACGTTCCAGACTGGCTGCCAAAGGGTACCAGATCTCCCCTGCCTGCATCTACTGCGCAGCGGAGCAATCGACCATTGGACACGAGTTCTTTTGCTGTCCTAGTTTTTACGATGACCTGCCTGAGGAGCCCGATCTCGACTGGAACACTGATATGCAGTACACATATGATATGCTAAGGGAGCTCGGACAGAAGGCCCTTGGAGAGCCCGACTGGGATTGTCTTGCCACGGCAGTAGGCATACCAGTGAGCCCTCTCATCCCACCGTATGTGGAGTTCAAGTTGCAGTACGTCTGCTGGGGTGACTGGGAGTCTGACAGAAGTTCCTGGAGCTCTTTGGTTTTCTCTGATGGTTCGGGGCTGGCCCCTGCGTGGCCTGAGATTCGTCAATGTGGGTGGTTTTTCGTCGTCATGGGGGACAACGGGCTACCAGTTCGTGCTGCATATGGGCCCCTCGAGGGTCCGATACAAACGGTCGGGAGATCGGAGCGAATGGTTTTCCTCATGGCACTCAGGCTTTTACCTGCTGTGGACCTACTGGTGACAGATCCCCAGAGCCTGGCAGCTGAAGTGAACTCCTGGCACCACGACCAGGAAGATGCGAATTCGACATACGCAGACATCTGGAGGCACATCTTTCATGCAGCTGACGACAAGCGTCGGCCCAGAGCTTGCTGGACGCCTGCGCACATCACGATCGAGAGTTACTTGGAGGTACACTTCGGCGCCCTCCCGTTTGAATTTCTGCTCGGGAACATGTGGGCGGATTTTTTCGCAAGGGAGGGGGCCAACATGCACGCAGTACACAAATCGACGGTCCAAATGTTCGAGGCCAGGCTGAGTCAAGAGAAGTTGAATGCTAAGTTCTTCTCCTGGGCGGCTGCTAAGCTCATCACCAGGGACTCCACCAGCAGTAGACCCGAGAGGCTCAAGTTAGGTGGCCCCCCGATACCTGCACAGCATGTAGGATTGCGTGTGCATGAGGTGGTCATCCGCAGTCCTGGGGTCTGGCAGTGCAAGACATGTTTGGCCACGGCTCGGACCCCAGCCAGTTTGTTGAAGCTCGTTGCGGGTACCAGTAATTATGCTAAGTGTGAGCCCACGGAGCAACAAAAGCTCCAGGCTCGCAATGATGTTGTATTGCACCGTGCATTGCCTTACAGGAGTGAGGCGGCCAACGTTGCGCTAGATCTAGCGCAGGAGCTCAGCCCACCCGAAGACCCTGTCGTTCCTGGTCCTGCGGGGGCTCAGCAGCAGTGTGCAGACGACATCGTAGAGTTAGATGGCCACCGAATTCTTTCGAATCTTGGTGCAATGGTTTGCACATTGTGTGGGTCGTGCCAGCTTAATGGTGGGCGCGCGGGGCATTCGAAGCTTGGAGGCTGCTGTCTGGGCCCTTCTCAGCACCCCCCCACACTGTATAAGCAGCGGCATGCTATTAAGGCCATCAAGGCGGGTAAGAACCTCAAGAATGGCCTGCCGATCAAACTGTTTTGATGGGTTTCCTTGGCCCGCTCTGTTTTCCGTCACTTTTTCCCCTGGGAATCCACGGTAAACGAGCTGGGCCCATATGATTGGCCCATGCTCCCGTAGTTGGTTGCATGACAGGTCATCCGAGGCGTCCTCCTCCTCCTCCTCCTCCTCCTCCTCCTCCTCCTCCTCCTCCTCCTCCTCCTCCCCCTCCCCCTCCCCCTCCCCCTCCTCCTACGTCGCAAGCCTTGCCCAGCCTCGCCCGCCCCTGCGCAGCGGGGCGGCACACTGTCCGCCCGCAGGGCGTGCCGCCGTCGCCGCTCCGCCGGGGGAGGAGGAGGGAGGAGGAGGGAGGAGGAGGGAGGAGGAGGGAGGAGGAGGGAGGAGGGAGGGAGGGAGGGAGGGAGGGAGGAGGAGGAGGAGGAGGAGGAGGAGGAGGAGGAGGAGGAGGAGAGGAGGAGGAGGAGGAGGAGGATGGGCCCCCGCATGTCTTGCAGGAAGCTTTGCGGCGGAGTTCTGCCCTCGGCCATGTCTCCTCCACGGTGGTGTGCAACCTGGGGCGCAAACCGCGTGGCCTTTTTTTTGGGTGGGGGACGGGGACGGAACCGAGCGAGGAGACAGGCAGAATCGGGAGCGGCAGGAGGATGATGAGGGGGTGCAGCGGCAAGCGGGAGTGGCTGGTGCACGAGGAGGAAGAGAAGGAGCCAGAGGAGGAGGAGGACGAAGAGGAGGAGGAGAAGGAAGAGGAGCCTGGGACAGGCTTAGAGCCCTTGAATTCACTAGGAGGAAGAGAAGGATGATGATGATGATGATGATGATGATGATGATGATGATGATGATGATGATGATGATGATGCTGATGCTGATGCTGAAGCGCTGATGATGATAAGATGATTAAGATGAGAAAAAAAAAAATGATGATGATGATGATGATGATTGGTGGTGTGGTGGGTGAAAGATAATGATGATGTGATAGATGATGATGATGATGAGAATGATGATGATGATGAGATGAATGATTGATGATGATGAGAGGAGGAGGAGGAGGAGGAGGAAGGAGGAAGGAGGAGGAGGAGGAGAGAGTAAGATAGGATGAGAGAGGAAGAGAGATGGTGTGTGGTGGTGGGGTGGAAGGAGAAGGAGGAGAGTATGAGGAAGAGAGGAGAGAAGGGAGGAACAGCAGGAGCAGGAGGAGGAGCAGGAGGCGGATGTGAGGAGGAGGAGGAGGAGGAGGAGGAGGATGTGGACGGAGACGAGGTAAGCATGATGAGGAGGAGGAGTCGAAGGTATGGGGTTGAGGAGCAGCAGAAGGGACGACAGGAGGGATGGGCAGGAGCTGGATGAGAAGCTACAGTGTATGATGGGGACAGGGGGGAGCCTGCGAAGGAGGGAGGAGGCATGAAGAGCGAGTTACTGCCTCTCCAGTATCCTTCTACTCCTCTCTCTTCGACGTCATCTCTTCCTGCCCCTCCTTGCCCCTGCTGTGCCCTTTCGTCATCGTCGTCCTTCTCCTGCTGCTCCTCATACTCTCATGATGAGGACCCGGATAATCGTGCGAGACAGCAGCACGGACCACACCGCAGGGGCAGAATAGTGATAAAGATGAGGTGACGAATGGACTAGAAGGATGGGAGGAGGAGGAGGAGGAGGAGGAGGAGGAGGAGGAGGAGGAGGAGGAGGAAGGGGAAGAGTTTCGGGCCCCGCGCCCGCTTCATCCTCGAGTAGACCCGCTGAGGCCACCTCGAGCCCCTCACCTCTGGCCAGGTCGCGGTCTACGCTGATTCCTTTGGAATTTCCGACCCAGGTCCTGTTGCCGTGCCGCTGTGTCGGCGTCGTCGTGGTCATCTGCTGTTCTTGCATGGCGCGCGGGCGTGCTCGTCAGCGCACGCCTGACGCTACGGGCCCATGGAGACCCGACAGCATGTCGAAGAAAAACCGGGAAGAGCCGAGACAACACCGGACCGATATAAATCGCACATCTCTGATAATCGGTTGTTAGGGAGGATGTATCGGGCGCCGCGGCTGTTTCAGAGCGTTTCGTAACACTCTGAGAGCGTTCCGTTCCGCTCTGGAGCGGATTTGTTTCCGTTCTAGGAGGAAGAGGAGGAACAGAAGGAGGAGGGATGAAGGGCATTGAACCTGGAGGCCCAGGTGGCCTGGCCTCCGACGAGGTATAGTGTAGCCCGCCAGCCGCTTTGAATGACATTGAGAAAGCAAAGAATCGGAGATGTTTGGACCCACCGTTGCAGTTTTCTTGGGCGCGCCTAGGGAGGAGGAGGAGGAGGAGGAGGAGGAGGAGGAGGAGGAGGAGGAGGGAGGAGGAGGAGGAGGAGGAGGAGAGGAGGAGGAGGAGTGGAGGAGGTGGATGAGAGAGGAGGAAGGAGGAGGAGGAGGAGGAGGAGAGGGAGGAGGAGGAGGAGGAGGAGGAGGAGGAGGAGGAGGAGGAGGAGATACCGGCGAGAGAGATGCATCCGACGGTGGCGCGACAGACGCTCGCGTTGCCCGAACGGGCAGCCTCGGATGGACATCAGGCCGTCGAGGACGCCGACCTGCACGGCACACGCCGCATCGCTCGACCCAGGATGGCCAGAGCGGCATCAGGCCGCGGCCTCGGCGGCCCGCCTGGACTGGGGGCGCCCCCGGCACTCCTCGCAGGCGGCGGGGGCCTGGGCGCCAGCGGGCCGCCTCCTCACCCGCACACCGCCTGCAGGCCAGCACACCACCACCAGGGCGTGCCGACCGTCGGCCAATCAAACACTAGCCGACGCTGCCGCGGCCAGACGCCCTCAGCACCTCGCTCCCGAAGAGCGACTCACAGATGCCAAACACGACGAGGAGCATCCTCCGACTGGCGCACTCCGCCCCTCCAGGCGGCACGTTTTCAGGGCATACGCGAGACTCCGCCCCGACCCACGCTTCAGCCAGCAACTCCCCGCCAGGCAATGGCCTCTCCGCTCTTCGGGTGCCTGCCTGCCTCCAGCCTTCGAAGCCTCGACCTTAGGTTGGACAGGTAGGTCCGCGCATCACGCCCCTCTCCAGTGGGCAAGCCGCGGCACGGCTCCAGCAGCGCTCTCGACGCGCCGCTGCCCGACCAGGCCACACACACCTGGCAGGACACGGTGGGGCCAGCCCTGCGCAAGCGGTGGCCCTGCACGTCGACCGCCGTGTCGCCCAGGGCCCAGAGCGTCGACGGGGCCTCGGCCAGGTCGCCTGGGTCCAGCGGCCCCTGGGACGCGTCCAGCGCAGCCATGGCGAACGAGCCCCCCTCGGACGCCTGGACCCACGCCGCCCCCACGTGCTCGATGATGGCATCCGCCTTGAGCTTCGCCACCTCGCTCTCGCTGCATGGAGAGCGCAGGTACTGTGCCCACGACGGAGCCCTGGTGGCCGCAGTGGATCTGCAGCACCGCCGACACAGCACGACCCTGCCGCCACGCAGGAGGACCAGCTGTTGCCGCACCACCGCCACGGGCGGCGCGCTCGGTGGCCCCTTGCAGGGGCGCATTTCCGAGTCCGTCACCTGCCAGTTCGGGACAGCATGCGCTGCATGGCCCACGCGATGTAGGCCGCGATCTGCTTGTGGCACTCGATCTCGACCCCGTAGAAGTTAGCGTAGCCCTGCGAGACAGCGAGTGCCCTGGCCCCCTCCTTCGCGAAGAAGTCCGCCCACATGGTCCCCGCGGAGAGGAGGGGGTGCAACCCGCGCTCCTGGAACTGCTTGAGCTCAGTGTGCGTGGGGATCCAGCGCACCGCAGGGCGCGCAGGCTGCGCGCGCAGGCGCCGCCAGACCGCGGCGTGCGTCGCGCCAGCCTGCTCGAGCGCCGCGCCCCAGGAGGCCGCCTCCCCGGCGAGCCCCAGCAGGTCCGTGAAGACGAGGTCGACGGCGGGCCCGCCGAGCTGCGGCGAGAGGACCAGCAGCGCCTGCAGCAAGACGTGCCTCTCCACGCGACCCACCGCCTGGAGGGGGCCAGGCAGCGGCCCGTACGCGGCACGCACAGGCAGGCCCTGCGTCGAGACCTGCACCGCTGCCCAGCCGCATCGCCGCAGCTGGGGCATCGACGAGGCCAGGCCCGAGCCGTCTGTGAAGACGTTGCCCGCGGTCGTGCCAGGGTCGTCGCTCTAGTCGCCCCAGTAGTACACCGTCGCGGTGCGCTCCGCAGGCGGCGCGCTCGGTGGCATGCGTGGGAGGCAGGTTGACAGCGCGAGCTCGTCTCATGCCTGCGGCCCACCGCCCATCTGGAGGCCCTGGTCGCGTATGAAGGTCCAGGCCACGCTGTGCCTCTCGGGAAGCACCTCGCCCTTCTCCTCGCTCGGGGGCGCTGGCTCCAGGAGCGTCTCGCAGCCGAAGAAGCGGTGCCCAGGGGTGTCCGACGTCCGACTCCGCCCCGCATGCGGCGCAGTCGGACGAGGTGGCCAGCTTCGCTTCGAACTGCGCCTGCCTGGTCCAAGGCACCCCTGCTTAGTGGGCGCGGAGGCTCATGGCCCCTGGGCATTCGGCGACCGCGGCCTTGGGACCGCCAACACAGCGCCTCATCGCCCTCACCCGCAGCTTGGCCTGCTGGTCGCACTGCGGGTAGTGCTGGAGGATCTGCCGCCCTTGCCACCGCTCTGTGGCCAGGTGCATTCTGACGTCCGTGGGCGACTCCGTTCAGAGGTTGACGTGATTCTTCTCGTCCGTAACGAGCACCGTGGACGTGACGAGTGCATGAACCAGCCAATGCGCCACAGCGTGAGGATCGCGGACGCGATGGGCCCGCGCACCCCTGCCCAGCAGGGGTGAGCCACCAGCACGGCCGTGGCCTCGGCCCAAGCTAGCGAGGTGCGCTGTTCCCACGCCCAGCTGGCGTAGCGGCAGACCAGGTCACAGGTCGCCCCGTAGATGGGATCGAACTCCGTGGCTCCCTGCGTCGCCAGGAAGACCGTGACGCTCGAGGGCCCCTGCCTGGCCCGGACCAGCATGCCCGCCTCGCTCCTGAGCTTGCCGAGCGTGGCGTCGATGACCCCTGACACTCCAGCTCCATGCGTTGCGCTGGGGAGGGGCCCCGTCTTCCAGAGGCAGGCGACCCTCCTGCCCAACGCCTTCTTGAAGAGCAATAGCCTGCCCGTGCGCGCAGCCGGTGCCTTCGTCCGCTCGGCGGTCTGGCGATGCACCTTGCGACGGCCGCAGAGGTCTTTACCCAGGTTCCCGACCCAGTGCCTGCCCTTGAGTCCTCGCGCTCCGCCGTGCCGCCGACAGCGCTGCGCGACAGCCGAGGACGGGGTGACATAGCCAGACATCTCCCGCTGGATGCTGATGCCGAGCTCACGGGCGCCCTCGCGGAACCTGGTGACCGCAGCCCACAGTTTGTCAAGGGCGGGCGCCCCGAAGTCCGCCATGCGCAGGGCAACATCGTCGATGAGCGCCTTGGGCACCACGCCGAGGCCGCGAATGCGCTGAAGCAGCCTGTGGAGAAGGAGCGAGACCATCGCACAGGCGTGCGTGCAGCCCGCCAGCGCCCCCTGCCACGCGACCACATCGTGCGAGATCGACCCGAACGCGCATAGCCTCCTCGGCTGCCGATAGAGCTCCAACAGCATCCAGACGATTCGCAGCGGCATGCCCAGCTCCCGCGCCTCCGCCAGCAGCGCCGCGGGGACGATCGCCTCGAAGACTTCCAGGCCTCAATGAGCACCGTGAGCGTGTACTCCCCGAGCGCCGCAGAGATCTCCGTCTCGATGTTGAGGTTGAAAGCCGAGTCTGGCGAGCTCTTGTCTCCTCCCATGCCCCAGATGTCGGCGCTGGGGTGCACGGAGAGCCAGGCTTTGGAGAAGCTGGCCTTCGCTCGTGACCACCACCTGACCATCGTATGAATGAGCGTGATCAGACGGCAGCCTCCAGTCGGCTTGGGCAGCCTGACCATCTCGTCCCAGATCCTGCCGTCGGGCCAAGCACCGACCTCCTCGCAGCACGTGAAAAAGGGCAGCGCACACATGGACCCCGACCTTCGACAAGCGCACCAGCGCCCGCATGCCGATGCGCGCGGGCCCAATCGCCGTGGAGGTCGGGAAGGACAGCGCAGCAGCCTGCAGCATGCCCACCGCGAGCGTGGGGAGGGGCTCCCACTGGTCGGTGTCGCGCGGCCTCTGAAGCTGCCCCAGCTCGCGGCACCTCCAGATGTTGACCCACTCCTTCATTTCCTTATCGCAGGCGCTGACGGGGCTGGCGATCCTGTCGCGCTCCGTCCACTTGGGCAGCACCAGCTGCAGCGCACGGGTCTCGGCCGCCCTGTGCGCCCGATCAGCAGCCCCCTTGGGGAAGCTGTCCCGGGCCCAGCGCACCCACGCCTCCTGCTTGCCATCCATCGCCTTTTTCCACCACTGTGCTGGCGTGCTCCACGATGTCGCCAGCCACATGGATGAAGTTATGTCGCAGCAATACGTGCATGCCTGCCAAGAAGACATCCTGCGCCCACTGCGGCAGCAGCGCGATGATCTTGTGGTGCCTCGCCACCTTGTCGCGGCTGCTCTTGGTCTCCAGCAGGAAGCAGGCCAGCTTGGAGTACTGCATCGACGACAGCTCGCACACCGCGTCCGATGCTTGCAGTAGGCGCAGCGACTCAGCGACGAACGCACTGGCGCCCATCATTTGACGCGCCCACCTCGCCGCAACACGGCAGGCTCCAGCGAGTGGGCCGAGCCGCGCCCGATGCGCAGGCGGTCGCCACTTGGCAGGCCGCAGGGCCGTCGCCAGATCGCCTGACCTGCCGACGTACTTGTGCCTCTGCTCTCCCACCGTATCGTAGCCGTCCAGCAGCTCCTGTTCGACGGTGTCCAGCACGGCGTCCCACGCCTGCACTAGCAGCTGCTGCACGCGATCGTTGCTCTCATCGGGGTACCGTATGCCTTGGGGAGCTTTGACGCACCTCCCCCTCACGCTGTCCTGCGCTGGTCCACCGCGCTTCTTGTCGGCGTATGCTTCCTTAACCTGCAGGACCTTGGCCAACGTCTTGGTCCATTCCTCCTCACCTCGGGCGCATCCAATGGGCGGCGCCGCTGGGATGGGCCGAGGCGTCACAGGGACGCGGACCGGGATCTTCATGTCCTGCCCGACGAGCCGAAGCTGCACCGGCAGGCGGGGCGCCGCGGTGCCCAGCTCGTGCACGGTCGGCTCGAAGATCCTCTGGCCCAGGTTGCCCGAGACGAAGAAGTAGTCGATCGTCGACGCGTAGTCCAGCTGCGGGCGGCACGTGGTCTGCTTGGGCACCGCCTAGATGCCGTTGGTCTCCTCGCCCCACTGAGGCTCCAGCAGCTCCAGCGCCATGTTAAAACCGCCTCCGACGACCCAGTCGTAGCCCGCGGCGTTGAGCTGCACCGGGTAGCGCAGCAGGGTGAACCAGATCCCCTGGTTGACGACGCTGAACCCGACGCTGTCGACCAGGTAGACAGAGGTCATCACCAGGCCTCCGCGCACGCCCCAGTGCACGTGCGCGGCCGACATGCGTCCCTCATGCAGGACGGGCGAGTCGGGCAGCGGCGGCGCCATCATCAGGATGGAGGCCTTGGCCAGGATGACCACGCCTCCGACCGTGCCTTCAAGGGAGGCAGGGGAGGACGCCGCTGGAGTCCAGACCCCGTCGAAGCCGAAATCCTGGATCTCTCTCTGGACCACCGCGAGCTTCGTGGGGTCCCTCCTGCAGCAAGATCACGTACGTGTCGCTGCTGAGCGTCTCGACGCAGGGCCCGATCGAGTTCCGCGAGGTCACGTTCATCGGTGTGATGATGCCCTTCGGCTTGAGGTGAGGGCTGCCGTTGAGTTGACCATCGACATGGGGCCGATGAGCTCAATGAGGCGCAACACCGCCCATCGCCATCGCCTTGGCCAGCTCCCGAACCTTGGCGGCGTCGTCGTCTGGTTTGGCGAACCTGGCCATCTCGCGGAGCTCCGACTCCTCGAGCTCGTCGGGCTCCCAGCGGGCCTGCACGACGAAGTCGCGGGGTGGGGCTGCCTTCTCTGCTGCCCCCTGTGAGCCGTGAGGCTGCTGCCCCGAGTCCGCCTCCTCATCGTGAGCTCTGTGATGCACCTGCTGAGCCCCTCCGCCAACTTCGCCTGCGCCGCGTGCGGTAGGGTCTGCTCCTCGCCCGAGTGCGCACCCAGTTGCGTCGCGACGAGCTGCGAGAGCTCCCCCATGGTGAGGCCGAGTCCTGGTACCAGCTCCTGCGCCACAGCTGTGGCTGGCGCCCGCGCGGCTGGCGCCGTGGGCAACAGCTGCTGCAGGCGCTCGAGCTCGGCCTCCATCTCCACGTGCAGCGTGCGGAGCTCCTGGTAGGCCTTTTCCTTGTTGTCCAGGGCCAGCTGGCGGCTTGCACTCCACATGCAGCTTCCTAGCGTCGGCCAGCTGCACGTTGAGCGTGGCCACCTTCTCCTGGACCCACTCCGCTGTCGCTGCCCTTGAGCATCGCCAGGTCGCGGAGGCGCCGCTTGATCTTGGCGTCGATCTTGCCAGCATCCGAGTCGTCCGTCCCCATGGACTCGCTGATCCCGGCGGCTTCCTGCCAAGACGGCGGCTTGCCGCTGCCCCGCTCCTTCTTGAGGTCGGCGAGCTCCTTCTGCGCGGCCTCGAGGAGCTTCTCGAACTTGCCCTTCGGGTGCTTGCTCCCCTCGGCCTTCTTGGACGGCTCCGCATGCTCAGCGGCCGTTCCGAGCACGTCCTTCTTGTGCAGGCGGCAGCCGTGGCACTTGAGGCTGCTGCCCCATTTGAGCAGTGCCTTCCCCTTGCGGCGGTTGATGCAGTTTTTGCACGTCCAGTCGCGCCTCTGCTTCCCGCCCACGCTGCCCTGGCCGCCCATGACTGGGGCGCTCGGGAGTGCAGGACCGGGGAAGGCCTCCGTTTACCCGCCCCCCCGAGCGCGGTGCGAACAAAACTTTGCCAGGATCCAGGGGGCCTTGACAGCCGCGGACTAGCGATCTCCACGCGTTCCCCTGAGGAGGAGGAGGAGGAGGAGGAGGAGGAGGAGGAGGAGGAGGAGGAGGAGTTGGATGGGGAGGATCGGATATGGAGGGTGAGGCGGATGGTGCGGACTGCGATGAGGATGATGAGGACGAGGGGAGGCAGGTGGGAGAGGAGGAAGAGGGGAGGCAGGAGGAAGGTGGGGGGGGGGCAGTAGGAGCGGGAGCAGGAGGAGGGCGAGGTGTAGGAAGAGCAGGGAGCGGGGTAGGCGATGAACAGCAGCGCGAGGATGAGGCGCTCGAAGAGGAGGAGCAGCAGCAGGAGGAGGGGGCGGAACAAGGAGGAGGAGGAGGAGAAGGAGGAGGAGGATGAGGAGGAGGAGGAGGAGACGAGGAGGACGAGGAGGAGGAGGAGGCGGGAAAATGAGGAGGAGGAGGAGGCCACGGCCCATATCTCATATTTTGTCGGCTGAGGTCAAGGAGCTCGAGGAGGACGAGGAGGACGAGGAGGAGGAGGAGGGAGGAGGAGGAGGAGGAGGAGGAGGAGGAGGAGGAGGATGGGGAGGAGGAGTAGGAGGGGAGGGAGGAGGAGGAGGAGGAGGAGGAGGAGGAGGAGGAGCGAGAGGAGGAGGAGGAGGAGGAGGAGGAGGAGGAGGAGGAGGAGGAGGAGGAGGAGGAGAGGAAGGAGGAGGAGAAACAGGAGGAGGAGGAGGAGGAGCAGGAGGAGGAGGAGGCCGGCGGCCTTTGGGGGTGCGGCGGCAGCGAGGGCCAGCCTTTGGCTCCTGCACAGTGCCAGGCGCCCGTGCCGCGCCGCAGTTGTCCGATGCGATGCTTGCTGGCGCGTGGTCGCGCCGCCTCTCTCTGTGCGGGAGTCTCGCTGGGGTGTCTGCCGCCGCTTTGGCGCGCCCTGGCGCGTGCGCGGTCGGGCCTGCCATCGGCTATACGTAAGAGTGACCTTTCGCCGGAGTGGCCTTCGATGCGGACACACCGGGGTCCCCATGTGGCCGCTTGCGATGCGTCAGCCGCGGCTTGGGCGCTCGGTTGTGGCCTCCCCGCGCCCCCCGAAAGCCGCGCACCCAAAGGTCACACTTGCCTGCGGCCGCTCTTACGTGTACTGTACAGTCAACCCGCATAGCAAGGATGCGAAACTCTCTAAGGTTAGCATTGCATCCTTCCTCTTCGGCCCATCCTTGGACGCTTTCGCGGCGAGCCCAGGTGGGAAGTGAGCAGGGGCGGGCAATCTCAGAAGGCTCGAAAGTTCTCGGGCCATTTGAGAGGTTTTCCAAGCCTTCCGCGAAGACACAACAACTTCGCAGAAGGCGCGAGGGCCTCTCAAAAGCCCCGCCGCCTTCTGAGAAGGCCTTCTCCTTCTCACTTCCCCCACTCGCTCGGCACCGACAGATCTCCCGAGAATGCCCCCAGAGGCTCCACGGTTCCGAACAGAACATGTGCGGTGCACGGTTCTCAGTGGAGACGTGGGGCTGCTGACATACCAGCAAGAGTTCCAGAATGCCAGCTACAGGAGTCTGCTTGCATACCGTGCTCGCTCGTGTTGGTAGAGATGAAAGAAAGGCCCCGAGAGGCTCCACGAGTCGCCAAGATGGCCGAAAAAGAGATCACCATCTCGGCTGATGGGCCGGCTTTCCGCCACCACCACCATAGTTCATTAGGAGAGGGAGGAGGAGGAGGAGGAGGAAGAGGAGGAGGAGGAGGACGAGGAGGAGGATGAGAAAGACCTCCCCATCCTTCCTTCTCCCCCGTGCTACCCATGGTAGTGATGGTGGACAACTGGCCCATCATCGGCGGCATTGTAAATCAGGAGTGGCTCCTCGCTGGAGCGGCCCGTTGTGCCGGGCATGCAGGGCCGGCAGCCCCCAGCAAAATTCAGGAGGAAACGACATACAAAGACACAAATAATCGCCGATCCCCAGGAACATATAAGGAAATAGCGGAAGTGTGGGGATGATCAAAACCCAGCAGGTATGCGAAGATATGGTCTTGGGATTTGTGTCTATTTATTTGTGTGTCCCTGGGCCCTTTCAAACATCTTCGAATATCTTTGCCTGTGTTCCCTGGGGAGCGCCGCTTGCCTCGTCTGCGCTCCGTCGGCTGCGCCGCCGCCGACAGCTTTTTCTTCAAGCAGTGGCTAAGCGTCCTGGCTTGCCTACAGGCCCACCAAAGAATGCTCTAAGAACCTTTTGTGGTTTGCACGAGATGTTACGTCGGGGTTGATGCCATAAGAACATCGTTTATGTTCTTCGAATAGTTTGGGGCTCTAAGAGCATTTCGTGGTAGGCCTACAAGAATGCCGGGACGGTCGGTTCCTGCTCGATATGTAGGGGTGCCCGCATTCGCCATGGGGGGCCTTCAGCGGCTGTCGGGACGCTGCGGGCACCCCCAGAACTTGTTTCGCCTTGTCTTTCAATCATTTCGCCTGCTCCAGAGGGGGGGGGCGTCGCTTGCCTCAGGCCGCGCTCTGTCTTTTGTTTGCTGCGCCCTGCCAGCAAGGTGTTCTGGGGGTGCCCGCCAGCAAGCATTCGCCGTGGGGGAAGCGGGTCTTGAAGGAAACTGGTCCCGAGTTTTGCTTGCCATTATTCGCAAAAGAAAAAAAACGCGATAAACATAAACTGTTGGGGCTCCGCGCGTATTTGTTTCATCCGCGCTGGGGCACCCCTGGCGTCGCCTCTGGCGCCGCCCCTGGCGCGCTCCGCGCGACTGGGAGCGGGGTCTGGCGCAGATCCAAAAAATCTGTGCGGAGCGCCAACAGTTTATGTTCATGCCGTTTTCTCTTCTTCAAGTTTTCGGGCTCTCGGGGCCCTCCACAGGCCCCGGGACCGTCAGAGAACGACTAAGGATGAAGAGTTCGTCCCGGTGGAGGTCCCAGGGTCAAGGATTTGCTTCCCTCAGGACCGTTTTCCCCCATGCTGACCGCATCGTCCCGAACAGCCAATGGAGGCCCAAGTCATGGCGCGAAAGTCGGGTTACCCTTCTGGTGAGTTTTGCTCCCGCCCCGGATCCTGACCCCCGGGGGTTCCCCAGAAGTCCCTGGAGCCCCGAAAACGACAGAAAACATACAACAATCGTCCGAAGACGTTCGAAATCCCTCCTCGATCCTCGAGGAGGGCCGAGAGCAAAACTTTTCAAGCAGTGGCGAAGCATCCTGGCTCGCCCAGAGGCTCATTAAATATTGTTCTAAGAACCTTTTGTGGTTTGCACGAAACGTTCTTAGAACATTTCTGGATTGGTCTGCCTTGTTTCAACACATCGGGCTTCTGTTATAAGGACACTTCTTTTGTTCGTAGAACATGTTTGGGTTCTAAGAAGATTTATTGGTAGGCCTATAGGAGTGCCGGGACGGTCGGTCCCTGCTCAAATGTTGGAGATTATTCGCCCAAGTGACCTCCGGTGCGCGGCTTTCGGGGTGCGCGTGCGGGGGGGGTGGGGGCAAGATCCAGGCACGCAGGTTGCCACCGTCGCATCTCAAGCAGTGGTCGGCAGAGCGCCAACATTTTATATTAACGGCGATGTTTCTTCCTCGAGACGAGGAGGACGAGAGGACGAGAGGACGAGAGGACGAGGAGAACGATGACGAAACAATCATCGTACTCTGCTCGGAGCCACGGCGGGGCCGAGAGGGAGAGAGTGCACCAGAGGTCATTCTTGCCTGGGGCCACTCGTACGTGACCGAGCCGTCCCTCGGGAAGGCCTCCAGAGGCAACAAAGCAGCCCAAACCGGCCAATCCTTACAGTCAACCCGCATGATAAGGACGGGCAACCTTCCCAAGGGTACCCTTGCATCTTTGCCTCCTCGGCCCATCCTTGGCCACTCTCGTCGGCCGCCCCCCGCTCGAAAAGCTTCGAAGTGGGCGTCCAAGGCCCTTGCATCCTTACAGTGGAGGCCCATGCCAAGAAACACCCTGCTTGCCCCCAGGGTGCCCTGGGTTTCTTGGGTTTCGAGGGTCTTGCTATGGAAAGCGCGACGCTCCCGCACCAAAAAAATCAATGGACGTCCTGGGGCCTCAGGGTTGGCTTTCTGGACTGGCCTCCACTGCATCGCGCATCCTTGTGACACGGGCTGATGGTGCTGATGTGCTCCTTGGGAAGTCCCGGAAGTGCCCAAGGAGGCCTCCAGAGGTCCCTGGAGGCATTCGTGATTATGCCTCCAGGGGACCAGCCAGGGCAGAATCCACCTCCTTCTCCTCCTCCTCTTCCTCCTCCTCCTCCTCTTCCTCCTCCTCTTCCTCGTCCTCCTCCACCCCCTCCTCCTCCTCCTCCTCCTCCTCCTCCTCCTCCTCCTCCTCCTCCTCCTGGCCTGGCGGCGAGCGAGGGGGGGAAGTGAGAAGGAGAAGGCCTTCTCAGAAGGCGGCGGGACTTTTCAGCAGCCCTCGCGCCTTATGAGAAGTTTTCTTTGACTTCGGGGAAGGCGTAGGAAACTTCTCAGAAGGCTAGGGGACCTCCGAGCCTTCTGAGAAGGCCCGCCCTTTCTCGCTTCTCCCCCTCGCTCGCCGCCTACAGAAGCAGTCCAAAACCCGTGACCTTCGATCCTCGATCCTCCTAGGGTTAAGTCGGGCCTGTCCCTCTACAGGAGGCGTATTCAAAAATAGTCAAACCATGATGTGGGGACGATGGTTCTACCATGTTTGAATATTTGTTAGGTGTATGTTGTATTGTTCGTCCAGAACCCCCCTAGCAGGGGGGCATGCCCGACTTCATCCCAGGGCTGTCCTGGCCTGGGCCCTTCGATCCTCGATCCTCCCCTGGAGGCCCCGGCCCTCAGGGGTGCACAGGATCCTCAATCCTCGATCCTCCCCTGGAGGATCCTCGCATCCCCTCGATCCTCAATCCTCAATCCTCCTCAATCCTCAGGGGTGCACAGGATCCTGGGCTCATCCTCGCCCTC